CGATAAACGTGCAATTATTGATTATATTGTCTGGAAGTTTCTTGAGTTACTCAGCACAAACTTGTTCAGTTGAGTGGAATAATGTTTTTGTTTATCTTAGTTTCCCACATGTCACTTAGTCCGGGGATGGGGTGGGGGGATGTTTTCGTTGTGTTATTAGACATGCATGTATGAGTCTGTTGCAGAGAAAGAATCCAGATGCGTTTGTGTTGGAGTTTAATCGATTTCTATTCTTGTCTGTTCGATACCTTGACAAAGATGCATTATTAACCATGCTTACGCATGTTTTAATTACGCACGGTTCTAAATTCCGTGATGACCTCACATGTGAGGGTGCGAGACACGCATAGTGAGATGCTGCACGACTACAGCCTACTGCATGTGAACTGGCCAGAACAGCCAGCACAGCATATATTCGTATATAAACGATATAACAGAAATTCATTATTTGCCTGAAGACAATTTACCTCGAAAATCTACATGACGTACAATTGTTTAAGGTACATACGAAATCAAAGTTAAGTGCACATAGAACTTATCAAGAGAATTCACATCATTTGTACATAAATTTAAATAACGTATTTTCTCACGTAACTAAAGCTAGGACAAGTTGTTGAATCACGTCGCAATACACCACTTCTTTCAATCCATGCCTGTCGTAGCGGTGGTACATAGCATGACATCGTGTCCTACATTTATACCTGCGTGGAAAGATGCTTACCAGATTGTCTCGCCCAAACTCGAATATTTACATACAAAGCGCTATATATTGCCTGAGTGCGGCGTAAAACAAGAAACAACATCAGATCATATGCTTTGAGCCTGAATATATAAACCTGTTTACTACCTAGAAGCGTTAACATATGGCCATATTAAGATGTTTCTGTCTAATGAATCGTACGTAATTTGCACGTTCCAGGCTCAATAAAATATAAAGTTTACAGTAATATACACTTCAGGGGATCATAGTCATGGCTAAAGTGTCCGCTAAATATTGCTATTTAGGTGGCACAGAACCGTAGTCACTCACTACCCGTCATAGTGTTAACAATAGCAACGCAATGTATATTACTTCGTTCTCGAGAAAGGAGGTGTATTTGCAGTGATTAGGAGGCCACTGTTCAGGAAGTTACTTTTGATTGGACGACAGAAGCAGCGCGACGTCCTCAGTCACCGTACGCCGTTTTGATCATTCTCTGATTCATGGTGATTTTCCAAGCAATGAACTATACAAGGAAACCGACAAAACTTTGGGGAATAGTGAGTCACTGTATCCGTTACTTATTGAACAGCCTTCAACTTGCGCTATATTCTAGTCTGCCAACTACAGTACAAAACAAAATTTTATATTTTTCGCCCAATAGAATCTGTTGCGGCGCTGATTAGTTTCAGACGTTGACGTTCAATTTTGACGTTATGTTCAAGATCTCGCTGTGAATACTTCGCGTCATTGAGACAGTTGATGTAGTTCCGATGTAAAGTGTTTTGTCGCTGTTGTATATTATTGTATTTTATGTGACTTTAATAAATTTAATAATTCTTTCTCTTTCTCTCTCTCTCTCTCTCTCTCTCTCTCTCTCTCTCTCTCTCTCTCTCTCTCTCTCTCTCTGTCTCTCTCTCTCTCTCTCTCCTGTTCTCTCTATTTATCTCTAATTTTGTTTCTCTCGCATACTCACACACAGGTTATATAAATTAATAAGATCCGTTTAGTACAACTTTACTAAATTGTTTGTAAAAGCTTTCATGTCATTCATTTAAAAATCCGATATACATGGCGCAGAAATAGGAACGTCTATCTTGTACACGATTTCACACCAAACACTATGGATAGCACCATCCCGATCACATTGTCATGGATAACGCAGCTCCCTGGATCATTGAAGACAAACATCACATGTATTTTCTTAAAAAGCACCTGTTCTATTCGATTTTGTCAAGAACAGATTTTGTTACTTCCTCGTTCCACGGTTGATTGCTCTGTCAGGTGTTCAAAAAACCCACTACCTAAGAATAGCATTACGCGACTTCCTTCCTAGCTATTGGTTATGTTGGATTTTATTGGTTTAATGGATTTTGAAACTTTGTGAAAAGCCGATTGGTCTAAAAATACCAGAATCGTTATATCCCATGTAATCCTTGGGAACAGGGGGTGATATAAACTGCACTTTGTATCTTTCCTTCATTACGTATCCACTATGCTGAAATCTTGGAAATAAAAAGTAATGTGTCTTCTTTATGATACTCAGTTTATTGTCATCATGTTTTTTTACCTGTGCAATTTATTACATTCACCATCTTATACCTATGATAGTTTATATTCCGTGAGTATTCCAGGTTTGAATAGGTACCAGACAATCTAAGGTCGTCGTAAGAGGCGACAAAATGAACTGGTATCATGTGTTCCTTATGTTCATATATAATACTTTCATTTGAAAATGAATTTCTTCTGTCAAGGTGAGTGGATTTCCTTTCACAAATCAAAATACTTTACGTCTGTATCATGGTTTCCTTTGGGCTCTCAAATCCGGCGATTAGATACAATCAGTATTGGCTCTTGCCACCGGCGACACTGACACACTCAGCTATGTAACACGTGTGTTGGGATTTGTGTCACGCGTATGGAATTTAGTGGATGTCAGGCAACACAGTAAAGGTTTATAAACATGTCAAAATTGAATAAATCATAGCATAGGTTTACAAAATAGAATACATCATAGCGTGTGCATATATATGTACATGCCGTGGGTATTTAGAATTAGAATGGACCAGAGACCTCTGCTGGTCATAAGGAACGACCGAATGGATCGGGTGGCCAGCCTTGGTGACTTGATGGATGGTCTGTCATCGTACCCCGGCGTCCTGACGTTGCTCCTACAGTCAATCACTGGATTGTCGGGTCCAGACCCGATCGTTGTTATGTGATATATACACAATAACGTGTATAATGGTCCAGCACCTATCTCATACACCAGTGTTGTTGTTTTCTGAAGTATATGATTGTTATAACACTTGTATACAATATAGCGTGTCCATAAGTTTATCATCGTAAACAGGGGACATAACACTATGTAGCAGATCAGCCTGACTTTACCTATAGGGCATGTACTGTTGATCGTATACCACCACGCTGTGTCAGGGATATGTCTTACACTGTAGGTCAAAACAACGTACACACTTGAAAAGTTAGAGTTTGCCAAGACTTTACCAATGCTTTCAAAATGCAAGTGTTTTGGAAACGGTCGCCGAAACACTACAAACGCGAGGTCGAAACTACAACAACCACGCCAGCATATAACACAACACATTGGAGTGACCGTTTCGTGTTTCAGTTTTAGTCATTATGAAACATCTGTGTATACTTTCTATTGTCCTGCAGGTTACATGGTAAAATGGTTTAACTCAATGTATAATACATGTATATGAAAGTTACGGAGAAATAAAACAATGAATCACTTTATAAATATACACGTCCAGAGAATAAATCTAGTGGCACGATAACGACACATAGAGTACATATAGAGTACACATAGAGTACAGCTTTAAGGATATTTACAAACTCTATAATGTGCTGCAGCTCTAGTAACTACGCTATAGGTACCACGCCATAAGTTTGTGTGAAGTCATCTTTTTGAAGTCCGTGAAAGGATAAAATGAATATCAAATTGCTTTTATTTAACATATGTGAAGAGTTTCTCTAGTTTAATTCTAACTAAGACAATATATGCATATCATTAACTCAGCACGAGTAGCGTAAACCATTGTTGATGCGGCGTTAAGCAATACTCATTAGCATATCTCATATTTAACGGGCCTTTCCTTAAAAGTTGATTAATGATATGACATGTTTCTGCTTAAGAGACAATAGTATTGAAAACTGGGTCACAACGGAGCTATGTCCTGATTAATCCGAAAAGTCGAGCTTTCGTTTGAAGTGTGATTCGTAATTCCAGAAAATTAACCGGAAGGGGATATGATCCCATTCTTCTGCCCTTTTTCGCCGTATTGCATTCACAACGGAAGCTCATCTTACAACAAGCTTCCTTGTGGCTATGGCGGCCAGTGGTGTGACTGAGATGATTCGGCTTTCGTTCTCACCTAAGAACAACCGTGTGCCATAGGCCATGTTACATGGTGTGTTGTAACTTACAAGACCATGATATTTCTTGGCCTTGTTTCAGGACTGAGAAATGTCGGGCAAAGTCAAGTGGTGACGCGTGGTACCGTGCACAACACACAGGACACAAATCAACTTAAGCACCGTTAGTCCCTGAGAGTGGTTGGATAGCTCGACTCTAGTGTTCCAGTCCTGCCCCGCACTGTAGCGGGTGTGACGCATAAAGATCCGGGTTAGAATTGATTGTCAGCAACCAATGCTTGTCGGAAAAGGCGACTAACGGGATCGGGTGGTCAGGCTCGCTGACTTGGTTGACACACGTCATAGTACCCCCATTGCATAGATTGATGCTCATGCTGTTGGTCACTGGATTGTCTGGTCCAGATCGCCGCCATATAGCTGGAATATTGCCGAGTGCGGCGTAAAACTAGACTCACTCAATCACTGAAGCGTGTATACTTATTGAAGTTCGAAATTATACTCCTATTCACCCAGCAGTGAATTGGGTAATTGTCGAATATTGCCGAAATATTACTCAAAGCTGTTTAAAACCACACTCACTTACTCCATTTTTTTCTGTAATGACGGACGGAGTAAGGTGTTATGCACACATTTACGGATTGTGTGTCATTCATACTGAATAAGACGCCGTAGTTTACCATCACGAAATAAGGTGACAGTCCTTTTATGGCATTCAATCCCATTTCCTCTGTAACTATTCGTGGTGAGCTCGCTTCCTGTTCGTATCAACTAGGAAGCCAGTCCCTGCGGATTCCAATTGCTAAACCGGTCCTTGCTGAGCTTACTGCGCATACCAACAAGAAAACCAGTTACTGGCACTGGTTATCCACGGTCTTCCAAGTTTCATTATCAACAAATACTGATGTTCTTTTCACAATACTTTATTCACTGGCATAATAAACATTTCATGACAGTGTATAGTATTCAACAACAATGTTTTCGTACAATGGTAGGGTTCCACATAAAACTGTCAAATACGGAATGACTAGCTTCATGCTGCTGGGTGTCGGAAATCGACAAGTCGGATCTGGTCATATTTAACTTATACAATACTGCAGGGTCGGGATATAACTGATATATACACATGTTCATATCAATCAGCAATAACAGAAATATACATCGTGACAGATAGCCACATATACAGCGGATGAACACGTGACCATATGATGCAATGGTATGAAACGTGATCACAATATTGCAGTTGTCATGTTATATACAACAGCTGTGCGTTTTTTGTTACAGATGAAATTTACAACTGCCCGTGATGATGAATAGTATGTAATGAGTTCAGACAGGCATGGACCTGTTCCCGTTTACATATATTTCAAATTTGTATTTTCAGGTAAAATCTGAATTGCTTAAAGTTTTGAAAAATAAATATCTAGTAGATGTCATAAAAAGATGCGTTCTAAAACTATTGCCGATTGATAAGACAATGTCAAGTTAATGCTAAAGAAACTACAAATCTTTTGTCTCGAATACACTACTTTCATTTGTAACTGAAGGCTGTCAAAACTTTTAAATACCTAATCTAGCATTGCACAATAATTTATTAAAATTGCAAAAAAGTTGTCTTGTCAAAACTTTAGGGTAACCGCGATAGTTACCTGCGTTCGTTGAGGTTTCTAACTAATATTCTACATTTTGTTCATGTATCTACAACATATGCATCTAAAATAGATGACACGTCAAATAAATTAAGCATATATGCTTGTAATAACAGTCCACGCCTTCAATAAAGAGTCATAAGCTTGAGTTCGAATATCAGAACTCTTCAGTCTTTGAGGGGTGTTTGTCATGAGCACTCTGGTTCCCTGATTCACCACCAGGTGGAGGGTCAAACATTCGGAACGTCTCGGTTGATTTCGGTCGTCGAGTAGTGTAGGTATTGGAATCAGCCGAGATGTTCCGAATGGGTTCAAACATGGAGGAAATAACTTTCTGGCAGTCTAAAATGTCTGTATGATCACAATGTCATTTATACTCTTATTTCCACATCACAGGAGGGCTCGTGAATACCAGAGTCAAATGAGTTCTGTTCGCTGTGACAGATGAACGAACTGCCATTCATTAAACATTGAGAGTCCAACTTTTTGCTCTTTTCGAATAGATTGCTGTTGTTGCACACATTGTTGAGATTGATCTGTTGCCTTGACGACGTGCATCGTGGGGGGTAATCATTGTCCGTATTGGAGTTTCCTTCGAGAGAAAGGTTGGAGGGTGAGGGATATTTCGTGGGCACATCACTGTCCGATTCGTACATTTCCGTCTCCGAGACTGACCAGTCACTTCCTTCCATATCACATGAGCTGGTTTGAAGATCGCTTTTGCTGTAGTAATACTTTCTCTGCCATTTCAGATCTTCGATCGTTTCGTTCAGTGTAAGGAGCTGCTTCATCAGCGACAGGTCCTGGTCCATAAGCGACGCCTAAAAAGCAAAGAGGGTATATTAGAACTAAATGACATTAGTGTTGAAATACATGTCAACCAATAATAAGATTATTGAACGCTTGTTGGACAATCATAATAAATATCGTAAATATATATTCCATAATAAGTGCAACAATAATTCTTACACTACACGAAACTTAATATTGGATTCGCGTGTGATTAAAGATCGATTGTTCAGTATGTGCTAATGCTAAATATAGTTTCATGTCCTTACAAGTTATTGGCATCAATCAATTTCTTCGAAAAACACGTCACTTGTCGCTATCAACAAATTAGTACTGAATTCCCCTGTAGTCCGGCTCAGTATTGACAATAATGAGTCACCACCAGCACAATGTCTCTCACACAATCCACCCGTCTCTCCGTCTATATAAATTGCCTTTTCAACACATCAACTTAGCTTTTGAGATAAGCTTTAACAAGCCGTACCTTCCATTTCACTTTATAAAAGCGTAAGAGCACGACCTAAGAATTGGTAACTAGTCCATGGCGGTTTCTATAAATCTCTGCCGTTCAATGTGAGCACCCTTCAGTTAATCCCGTGTAATATCGGATAAGAGTTAGATCCCTTCTACTAAACAGGATAAACTATGTAAGGAAAGGTTATCTTGTTGGCAAGGACTAGAGAGCCAGGTTCGTGCTTTTCTCGGCCACTGGGGACTTGGAACAGGACTGAAAGATTTTGATTTTCTTGTGACATATCTATGACCTCTTATAATTACAACTGTATCCAAGTAATAGTGCTTTAACCGAAACCTCGGTTTAACATGCCACAGCTCTTCTTGTGAAACATGGACCTGGGTTCATGTATACAATTCATGCCATATATGTTTGAGTATCTGTGAGAGGTTTTACTCGCTTTCAGCAATATCACAGCAATACTCCGTCAGTGCTACCATGAGTTCGGTCCACACATTGTATCCATGCGAGGAATAGAACCCGTGACGAGCTAGTCCTCACCACTGTGCTACCCAACCGCCCCTAATCACAGTCTGTGACATAGCGGCCTACTTGAGGACGACCCTGTGCTGACGTGTCTTAGAACAAGTGTTCGTTACGTCACAAGGTCTCAGAATAGCCTTCATGTTTGGATAAATAAGTACCGCTCCTTCGCCCAGTTAACATGGTTTTGCGAGCATTTCATCCACCACTTCAATTATCCTCCTATATTACATAGCAGTAATACGACAATGAAATAATTCTCCAAAATTGCAATGCCCCGAAGTAAGGATTAAGAATTCGCCGTCTGAATAACGCATTATCACCCGAGATATTTTCTACGTACAACTACCAGATATTTAGTATCACCTGCGGCAAATTTCGTTCAGGTGTACACAGATGCTTTCTTTCATGTAAGAAACAAAATTCTGAACATCAGTCAAGCAAACAACTGAACAGAACGCCTACTGTGTCCTCCCGGGTCGTTATCTCTGTCCATGGACACACCATACGAGACCATTTCACAGGTGCTTCAACTCACAATACATAAAAAGGAATTTCAGAAGTGTCTCATTTGACATAGCATTGGTTATGAAAGCAATGCTGCCACCCCCCATGGTTTGTGCACATATACAGATCGCCTTACAGTGATGGGCTTGCTGCTCACAGCACCGGGTGTTTAATGTAGAGTGAAGAGATGGGGATCATCATTTAACCGTTTAACACCATGCTTAGGAGATATATTACATCAATTTAAATACTATCAAGTAATCGGTGCAGAAAGATCCAGCAAACAAGACGTCATTGTCTGGCGGACTGTCTACCATATATAATTACACATTCCCTAGATAGTTGATTTTATATGCATCAGAGAATCTCACAATGTACGTTCTGTGGGTATCTGAGAATGTGCTGACGGTGTAGTTTTTTCTGGAGTGTAGAGGGTCGGCGATATCAAAGACGTGTAACCAACCTAGTGGGGCACATTCTGCAGCGAGGGGAGTGCTGGCACGTGACCTTGAGGGCTGTGTTCTTGGAGGGAATGTTTAATGTGAAGGGTCCACGTGAAGTTCACGGCAATGACGAGCGTATTTGCGTCGGTTTCGCTGGCATCTTGATCTCTCGGAACGTAGCTCTTACCATATCTTATCTTTTCTTGATTAAACCTTTAGTGTGGAAAGCTGGTTTATATTAAGAAACATTCCATGTAACCGATGACACCATTTATCAAATCATTTTAAGGAGTCCCTACATAAGAGATTATTTTTGCATTAGATATATCCTAGTTTTCGTGGTATTACTAGCCGGTATCTAGCGTTCTGCAGTAGTTGCTAGCGTCCAGATAAACAGATAATTATAACATACCACTCACTCCACGTGGTCGTACGGGGCACCGATAACTTTGAATTCACAAATACCTCAGATAAAGGAGCCAAAATTATATTTTATCGTTCCGAGGCGTACCAACAGGTAGCCTATTGAAAGACCCTTTTGACGTTATAGCACCCCAACGTCACGAACGTTATAAATATCTTCAAAGAGGACTTGCTTTATCATATACTTTAATTGATGATTCATATACTAGTTACCACATTATCTATATTACGAAGGTTGTTACTGGAACATGACTCAACCTTGAGATCACGTCGCCAGCGCCCGCAATATCATACTGATTAAACGAAATCGTGATCTTGTCACAAGGTTGTGATGGATATCACAGTAACACAACTATACAAGCGTTATTTCTATTTAAAGTCCTAAACATGCACGTTGAGTGCCTACTATAGACACCCATGTTGAACGCATATCAAATATCTGCATAACTTAACCTGTCCATTCACTGCTTCTCTCTACAGCGCGTGTCAAGTGCGTTCAAGATTGCGAGCAGCGGTGCAAATGACGTTAGTACCACTCCACCGCGGTCGCTGTTTACACGACTACGACACCGACAAACATACGACAAGAATGAGAGGTAAATGGGAGGGTCAAGCGCATATATCATATTACATAACATCCATTAGCCGCACCAGGACGCGTGAAGAACGGATTGGGGAAGGAAAATAACGCTGGCTTGAACGTAGGAGGTGTGTCTGTGGGAATAAGTGAAAACCTGTCGAGTGCTGATTGTGAGATTTATTGTGTCAGTGACTCATAGCTTGTTAGAGGGTTTTACCTGTAGTGATATTGCAGTTTGTTGCGGTTGGAGTGGCACGCTGTCCAATGTTTTCTAAGAATGCTGTAAACCCCCTTGAAACTGTCAAGCAATGGTGCAGGTGACGGATAATGTAACAAACCACTATTTGCTTAGCTAAGTAATGTTGAATGTATCCATGGCTGATATTTGTGTAACCAATCCATCTGATAAGAAAGTCGTTTTAAATACCGAAAATTACTTAAGAACAGCGTGGTGGTGCGTTGAATAGAACAAATATTGACGATATATAGAAACACGATTTGTGTTACAAAACTTCACAGAGATTTCATTGGTTTGTTGGCATAATAAAAAGAAATTGGTAGGGAATTCATAACTTTTAGCAATAAAATTGAAAATAAAAATTTTGTTTTGGCAGCGTTCAATGCAACTACACACGAAATGTGTCATATTAGGCAAATGAATATTAATCTGACGGTGTTGCCGTTTGTAATAATTATACAGTGCTCTAGTAAGTCTGGGGACTTCATACTCATGTTTGGGTGATCTGCAGAATCAGGCCTGTTCAATATGGTCCAAATGGTAGCCCTTAGTCATCAGACTTAATGGCCGACTGGATGTCTCTGGATTTTCAAGGCGAAATGAATCGACAGTAAACCATTGCATTAAATCTGCCTCGTGTCGCTGAATTTATGACAGGGAAATAAACATGGCGATTTACTACAAACTTGGCAACAAAAGATGGATTAAGAGAAATAGCGCCTAGACCAAGACTGTCGCCATGCACACTCTACCGTCGTATCCCGTTTTGCCCTCGCGAGATTACCTCGAGACTTACAAATGACCAGGGCCACAGTTAAAGAGAAAAGTCGGAGCAATAAATGTCATAAACTGGACAGGTCACAGTGTCTACGGCCATCTCTGTAGGTGGTCAAGCAAGGACCATGCAATAAAATATATCATATACTTAAAACAAAGTGCTGAGTCAGCTAAAATATTTAATGTATATGTATGGTATTAATATTGATGGTGAAGTTAACTTACAATATTTAATGTTTATGGTCTATATCAAGCATGGGTTAACTATTTCACTTTAATTCTATTTTTGTGTGGTTGGGATTTGGAATTGTGTAGCATTACAAATGAATATGTTTTTTAACCTCTAGACATTTTTTTAAAAGTAGTCATTTTACTGCACAGTCACTGCTTGAACCTAATAAAGTCCAGCGCATGCTAAACACGTGCGTCGAGTAAGTTATATTACTTATAATTATTCCCATGTAGAGAGAACCACGAGCTCAAGATCTGCATCAACATACAATCAAGCTTCTCTTATTTATCTCCCAAATATCTCAGAACACTCCAATCCCTGGCACTGCCTCACTGGTACAGCCCCAGCCACGGCCTGGACTGACCACTGCCCAATGGCGACCACTGTCTGGCCAGATGCGTCCGGCAGGTGATGTAGGAGCAAGGTACGGGATTCCGCTGTTTACATGGGATGCCTGTCTGCAGTGAATGAGGGATTCTTTTGCTGACGTTGACTGACATTTCATTAGATGTACATATCATCTTGCACGTGCAGAGTGAAACAAACAGCAGGAGCGAGCATTTTGTTCCAAACATGCTTCATGGGTCACATAGAAAGAATACCATGTTCTTACACTAATCTGGCTTAGAAATCGGGAAACATGAAGATGCTTCGGGTCTATTTCTCATACCATCATCATCGTAATCTTAGAATTGAGTCGCATTTGAAGCTTTCGTTCTGTCCTATCGTTTTTAATTCTGTTCAATTTTCACCTGCGTATTAGCATGTGGTCGTGATTTATAATACGCCATTGTTTACTATGGAATGGATCTCTGTAGGCTGCTCGGCCCCAGGG